CGCCGAGTCGTGGACCAGATCCTCCGGATATGGCCCAAGCTCCGTCAGGAACCTCTCAGGGTCCATCAGTCGCCTGGGACGGAACCATCTAGGCGGTTCCGTCTCCCTGCGGCGAGGGGGCGCGGTCCGGAAGTCCATCCTTAGGAGCGAATGGTCTGACCATGACAAGGGCTCAACAACTATTTCCCCTACTGTCAGACCATTCTGCCACTGGCCAGAGACAAAAATTAGATCCAGCGTGTGTCCACCCGTGTGGGTGGGGGCATGAATTAATTGGGTCAAGTCCAAGGCCGTCATGGAAGCCAAGAACTCCTGAGCTGCCGCCGACGTCTCACCCACTGATAGCAGGTTGAAATCCCCCAAGACCATAAGGGGTCTTCAAACTTGGCCCTTTTATGACTTGTGGACTTCAACTCCCAGAATTCCTGCCTGGCTGAGGAATTCTGGGAGTTGAAGTCCACAAGTCATAAAAGGGCCAAGTTTGAAGACCCCTGACTTAGGATATGCTACATGCAAAGCATGCACCCTTTGCGGAGCTCTGATTTTGTGGAAAGAGCAGGTGCTACCTCAGAGCTCTTCAAACTTATTTTCCCAGGTAGCTTGGGGTTATTAACGTGACTTGGCCGTAGTAGGTCCGAGATGGAGAGAGAAATTTATTCTCAATAAGTACAATCCCTTTCAAAGCGAAGGTGGTAAGAAACTGAGAGATTGACTCTCCCCAATGACAGGACATGATCTTCCTCCTCCCACCTATTTTGCTTCACTTCACATGAAGATCGGTGCCAAAGTGTCCTCCCTTTTAATTTGATTATTTGATTTTTTTTCTGGATATTCCTATTTTCAACTCTGGAGTCTTCTTGCGTCTCTAGCTCCTTGAACAAAGCTGTACTTTTTTTTTTAAACACATTGAGGTGGGAAGGAAGGCATGGGGCAATATTGACATAATGGCTAATGTACGAAAACCCCATGTTTAGAGGCAGTATACCTCTGAATATCAGTTTGAAGACCGCTAATTTGTTTATTAATGGGCTTTCTAGAAACAGCTTAGTCCCTGTTGGAAAAAATTTGAAGGGCTCATTGAAGAATAGTTACCTTTTAATTTGGGCACATTTGGGAGGGGGGAATTGCAGTTATTCTCATATAAAAGTGTGAAAAGGGGGGTTTCTGGTTTTATAATGTCTGCCTGGTGTTCTGGCCATTCCCAATACATGATTAATACAGAGAAGCCTATGAGATTGCTTTCCACCCATTCCAAGTTGATTTGGGTGGGTGGGTAAGCTGGCTGGGGAATTCTGGGAGTTGAAGTCCACCCCTCTTAAAGTTACTAAGGTTGAGAAACACTGATTTAGGATCAGGTGTCACAGAGAGAAACTGGGCTAGGCAGCCTCTGAGCCAGTGATGGCAAACCTTTTAGAGACCAAGTGCTCAAAAACTGGCCCCGCCCCTGCTCTACCCCATGC